GCCCCTAGTAGCGTCCTTGCTCCTAGTAGCGATGCCCTTTGTTCCTATTAGGTCCTTAGGTTGGAGGCCATTGCTATTGGATTCTTCTTAGCCCCTTCTAAGCCTCTTCTCGCTCCTGTGAGCTCCGAGCAATCGGGGATGGGATCCTTTGGATTGATTTCAAAGGCTTTGATGAGACCACCAGAGAGGCAAAGCAGTAGAGCCAGCGCTGCTGCAGCTCTCACCTGCCAAGTGAACTCATTCATTGTCTGATTCCATCCTCACAAACAATTTCATTATCTATGTCCTAAATCCTTGTCTTGAGAAAAATGATTTTGAGACACTGACGTGTGTCCAACAATCTGTCTCTGCCTGGTGGTACCATTCTGGGCGGTCGGTCTCCTTCATGTCGCTAATGACCAGGGCCCTTGGCAAAAAGAGACTAGCAATGGCTTCCAACCTAATTAATAGCAATGGCCTCTGACCTAATAGCAATGGCCTCCAACCTACTAGCGATGGTCTCCAACGTAACAGCGATGGCCTCCAAGCAAATAGCGATGGCCTCCATTCTAATGGCGATGGCCTCCAACCTAATGGCGATGGCCTCCAGCCTAATAGCGATGGCCTCCGACCTAATCGCGATGGCCTCCGACCTAATCGCGATGGCCTCCAACACCTAATAGCGATGGCCTCCAACACCTAATAGCGATGGCCTCCAACCTAATGGCGATGGCCTCCAGCCAAATAGCGATGGCCTCCAACCTAGTAGCGATGGCCTCCAACCTACCTTGTGCTCTAGAAAATGTTTCAAATGGTCAATGCATGTTTGCTGAGGTTGCTGCAGCAAGAATCCACCCAAAGCTCCTCCAAGATGCCTTGGAGTCAACCATATCCCTAAGGCAAGATTGTTCCGCAAAATATTCATGTCGGATAAGGCAGAGACCCGAAAATGTCCATGTTTGGTGTCATAGATGACATGGTGGTCACTGAAATCATCATGAAAACAATCCTGCATCCAGATAGTGATGTCAGCAGCGACAACAAGAACCAAATGACATAAACAGCATCAGATGCACTCTACCAATGTACAAAGAAAATGGAAGGTCTTCTTTTGTCTTGAAATTGTCCGTTTCGAATCCGGTCCAAATGACTGTTCGCTCACGTGCAGGTCCCAAGATCTCCCAAGAGAGCAAGATCTCGGCCTGAGAAATCGAAGTCTGACTAGTGGCGTCCTTGCTCCTAGTAGCGATGCCCTTTGCTCCTAGTAGCTTCTTGCTCCTAGTAGTAAGGCCGTAAGGCCAGGAGCCCCTAGTAGCGTCCTTGCTACTAGAAAGATTTGCGGAGCAATATCTCAGCTTCTGCCAGTCTGAGAAGTGAACCAACCACACCCCAATCAATCCAAACCTCAGAAAAAATCATCCTGCAAGTGTTTTCCACATCGGCTGGGCACTTTACTTCCATGCTGAAATTGACCGGCTAAGAAGTGAATTTCCAACAGAAATTGAATATTCATAGCACTTATGGCGCACCCTGCAGTTGAAGCTCCGACCTGACAACACGCAAAATCGGAGAAAATCCTAGACAAGCAAACTAAGAAAAGTGTGCTGCTTCCCATGAAACTAGCATTTTGTCATGTGTTTTTCCCCGAAAGTTGAAGTTCCTGCGAAGGGTTCTTAGTGAAATCCTGTCAACTCCATCTGCCTGCTTGTTTTCGCGTTAATTCCATCTGCCTTTCTCGTCTCCTCAACAACATCATCACCATCATCATCATCATCATCGTTGTCATCATCGTCGTCATCATCGTCGTCGGCATCATCATGCAGCATTATCAAATAGCAGAGATACAGGTGTATTGCCGGTGTGAGCAGAACTTCAACCCAACTGCATCAATGTGATGAAGGTGTATAGATGACATCTCAAAGTTTCATAATGAGCATTTTGTACGAGACTTGTAGTACTTCAATTTGGCCATGTCAGATTTCAAAACAAGCATTTTGTGTGACACCTCCTCTGTAGAAGTATGTACAGCTGTCCCAACGAAATCAAGCAACTGCACATTGTCAAGCTTAGTGTTGAAAAAGGAACAACTTTGCGAGGTCTCCAAAAATGAAGGTTGAAGGTGTGGAAACCAAGCAATTCTGCAAGACTTCCCACGTGAAGGAAGAGAACCGAGAACGCACCAAGCTTCGGAGCACCGTGCCAGGCGGGGACCGTCCCGAGAACGTCCGGAGACCGTTCCGACGGGCGGAAGACCTCCAAGAACGCCTTATATACCTGTTTGCGTTGTTTGACCTAAACTTTTTCAAATCACATGTTAAAGTCCTTCATACCATGGTATGATTCATACATATTCATACCATATTTACGCTACTGTTACTGTGGAACTCATTTACGTTACTGTTACGTTTGTGATGTTGCTGTTCCATGCGGTTTGGTGAGGCCTGGGTGAAGCGTGTTTTGTTCGTGATTGGGACGGGAACATTCTGTGTAAATGCAGCATGTCGCTGGTGAGCCGATTGAGAGTCAACCAAGCATCAGTAAGTCGTGTCACATTCTTTGCATCCAGCCGCACTATGCCATTGGGGAACCGGAAACATGCGTGTGTAAATGCCACATGTCTCTTGTGAGCGGTAGTGTCACACTGGTGCATCTAGTCTGTGGGACACGGTGTAGCAAAATTACATCAGTGGTGTGGATGCCTTTGTGTGAACAGTCTGTATGAGGATATTAACACTTCATTATCGTGATAAGCATCCTTGTTCATAATGTGAACACCACACACATCATCATGATATTCAGGATCATCATCATCATCATCATCATCCTACTTCTTGACAGCAACATCACACACGCCATCACAAATCACATCGTGAGACCATTCTTCATCATATATTGTGTTTATGTCTTTGGACGTCGATTTATGTTAGATTCTTTCTCATCGTCTTACTCCTGCGATGCTTTTGGGCCAGCCTATCGTCTAGTTCCTTTCACTTGACAATGTGTTGATTCCTCTCTTCCTTCCTGTCATGTGTTAGCAACTGTTTTAATCAAGGTGCGGCCAACTTGTAAGGGTCCACTGCCACACTCATCAGATTGCCGAAGAGGCCACACCTAATCTGTGGTGGATAGAGCTCCACATCTCAATCGCTTGCTGCAAAAAATGTATCTGGGAGGCACACGCAAAGTAGATCATCATCATCTTCTCTCGGCCGAATTGCCTTGTCTGAAGAAAGTGTTGGAAGAGGCACCACTGCTGTATGGCTACATGTTTCACAGACAAATTGCTGGGCCTCTCCATGCCAAAGCCCATGCGAAGCTGAAAGAATACCTCATCTTTGGAGACCCCCTGGTGTCAGGTGTGTCAACTGCTTGAAAAACTATCTGACGTTACGACAATTTAGGCTCGAAGCATTAAAGAGCAGGTGAGTCAAGTTTGCATGCAGCCTAGGCTGGTCACTCAAGCAGGTGTCAAGGACATCAAGGTGGCAAAGGCGATCATGAGAGAAGACAAATGTCCGTTTTTGATAGTACTTTTCTTGTCTCCGTCACATCCGGAACCCTATCCTCAGTGAGCAGCATCACTGGAGTCACAAGACGCCAAATCTGGCCCCTTGCTAATGCCTTGGGGCAGGCATGCGATCGACTGGAATAGCTGCGAAAAGCATGTGATCCACTCAGAAAGCCAAGCATTTCGCTGGACCCCAAGAGGCACCCAGCTGGTAGAGCACACATGGCCTTAGTGTATTCTTGGCGTTACTACTAGGAGCACGGACGCTACTAGGTAGGAGCAAGGACGCTACAAACGTAGCTCCTGGCTTTTCTCGAAACAAATGGAAAGCACCCATACCTTGCTCGGTGCCCCAGCGTAGGATTTGCTCGGTTGTGGCCGAGCCACATGGAAAAGGCGAACTCTGCCACCTGGATATGGAAAATCTGTCAGATCTCTGAAGGTTGCAGTGAGAACCGATCTTCAACTTACTAGCGATGGCCTCTAACCTGAGAACCAAGCAGCACACGTGTCAACTGATCGGCTTCCTATATGCCTCTAACCCCTGAACGTCTTTTCTTCTCCAAACCATTGGCTCACGGTGAGACGAGCTTATTGAAGAGCTTTTGAGTACTAATTGTACCCTTAGAGCCTTAGGGATCTCTGAGGTTTTGATTGGTCAGGTCTGCAAAAGCTCTTGCTGAAGATCTCCCTACTCACAGAAAGGCTCCCCTTCGCTGGGAGCAGCACGAAGGCTCCTGAAGAGCCGCTCAGGTCAACTCACCATGCATAGAAAAAGGTATATAAACATGTCGCTTGCCCTTTTGGGGGAATTGAGAAGCTTCGTGTATCTCGAAAGCATCAACATCTGCAGCTTCTTCTAGCAAGATATGCTTGAATCACTCGTTCATCCTGGAAGATCACCCAATTTGCTCCCAGCAAACATCTGCAAGAATGCTAGGGAGTCCAAGCAAAGACCCCCACCCAGTGATACCTATCAATCACTACTAATCTCAAATCCATTCACCAAGTCGTAGTGAACAATCATGACAACTGAATAGACAGCAGCAACCCCTCAGAAACAGTTGCCAACTGCTCCAACTCGCTCCTCGCTACTACTACTACTACTACTACTACTACTACTACTACTACTACTACTCGCTGCGAACACCACCGCCCCTCAATCTTATATGTGATCTCCCCACCCTGCCATTTCCTGATGAAAGCAGGCTATCACTGGCATTGATGCATGTACCTCGGCATCGTCATGCAACGTTGTATTTGGAGAAACCGTTTGCTCATTTCACTGCTCCTGCTTTTCTGAGCTGAAAGGCCACCTGAAAATCTCCGGGCTGACCATCTTGGAGCAGTGCCTGCCAAACGGGAGAAGGTCAAGACCGAAGGTCGAGAGTTCACAGCATGGCAAGGTGGCTCCACAGGGCCTCATCTAGTCGACATTGTCAGATTAATCCACAAACATTGTGCAACTGTGCCAGTTCTGTTTATCCCACATGCTAAGATGATCCAAAATGCCTTGTTGAAAGAGGCATCTTCGGAGACACTGCAATCACCATCTCCCTGCGCCACCCGCCAGCATACAGTGACCCAACGGGAGAAATTGGAAGCGTCACGCATCTCCTCGTAGAGCTGCTGGAGCTGCAAAGCAGGAAGAATCCTCGATACATTTTGGCCCACAACACTACCTTCAATATCCCCTACTAGCATTGGCCTCCACCCAATGGTCTACCCTAGTAGCAATGGCTTCCACGCTAACAGCGATGGCCTCCACCCTAATAGCAATGGCCTCCACCCTAATCGCAATGGCCTCCAGCCTACAACCAATGGCCTCCAGCCTACAACCAATGGCCTCTAACCTAATAGCGATGGCCTCCACCCTAATAGCAATGGCCTCCACCCTAATAGCAATGGCCTCCACCCCAATAGTGATGGCCTCCACCCTAATAGCAAAGGCCTCCACCCTAATAGTGATGGCCTCCACCCTAATAGCAAAGGCCTCCACCCTAATAGTGATGGCCTCCATTGAAACAGCGATGGCCTCCTGTATCTAGGTGCACTGCCTGCCTGGAGTATCTTTTCATACATTTCAGAAAACCTTGCTGCGCAGTCTCCCTTATTGAATGTCGAAATTGACACATCTTCATCCCCCTAAAACGTATGTTTCACTTGCAACGCACTGTGAGCCTTCGCCGCAAGTGGGTACACTGGAGCACATGATCAGAGTCCACCTGACCAAACAGCTCCAATAAGCATCACAGCATCACCGCAATGATTCTTTCTTGAAAGCGACCTCCATCACACCAAAATTCAGGGCATCGGTGATGTCAATTCCCTCAAACATCTTCGTGTCCCACAAAACAAAAATCTTTTCCAGCCTCAGCGTCGCAACCCTTGGCCTGCCAAGGTAAAAACACAGCCGACAGTCTCTAACATACACAACGACAACACCCTGCTTCAAAGCAATAGAAAGTGGGGGACGATTTGGTCCGCAGTGAATGCCTCGCATCAGCACATCCTTTCTCCGGATCTGTCGGACAACACATCGTGATGCCCCAGTTGCTCTTAGAAAGCGCTGCAAGTGAAGATGCACTCTTCTCAACATAGTCAGCTTCTGCACATTAGCTGTGAGCACAATGTCCTGTCTGGCACGACCCTCATCGTTATGAAAGCTTGTTCGTTGCACGCACCATCACAGCCTTTCACGGCCTCCCAAGAACATATCCCATCTGCTCATTGTCCCTGGTCAACATATTTAAATTTGTTTGGGGGGTGACCATTGGACGCTCTCAGGGTGGAGGCCATCGCCCTTAGGTTGGAGACCATCACGTGTTTGTTTGTTTTGTTCGACATTCTCAATAACTTGCTTCAGCGCGGCATGCTTGATGTATGCGTCCTCTCTCCAGTCTGGGAACTGTTTTTCTAACCAGCATGGCTATTGCCGGCTACACACTGCCAACAAACTATTCTTCAATTGAGACTAAAGTGGCTGCTGACCATGCTCAGCTGTCAGCATCATCTGGTTCCACTTCGCCAATTGCTTGCAGAAGGGCTGCATGCCTGCT